GTAATTCTTTATGATAAGTTACCATTATCAATGAACAGGGACTTCCAGTGCCTATCTTTGTCAACATATTTATTATCCCACCCAAAGTTACACACCACCTTCATAGCAGTGTTCGCGTTAATCTGAACAATTTATTGAGTTACTACTGCTGTTAAGGTAGGGAACACTCATTCGAAAATGCTCATAGTTTAAAGCACATTGCTGAAGACGTGATTGAATATGGCAGTCCCGAGTCATCTTCTGCCTTTCCTTTTGAATCGTACATGCGGAAAATTAGGCGTTCAGTACAGTGCGGATTCGCGGCAGCTAAAAAAGTTGCCGAATAAGTTTACTTTCAAAGTCTACTGAATCAGGGCATGTCAGACAATGTGACTGAGTCTGAGGTAAGTTATGAAAATCATCACTTGCAGAAACTCAAAGCTATTAATTGCCAGGCCTGACAATGTAGTAGTTGCCAACGGTCAACCGGGGTTCATCACACAAATTAGTGATGGAAGAAGGCTTAGGTTTAGAGCATACCGTAACCTTTTAGGTTTCTTTACTGACGACTTTCCCTCCAGTACTATAGGTATATTCAAGTGTTCTGCCGTAAGCTTCGAGTGTACGTGGATTAGGTCGACAGACATACTTTGCAAGTGTATCTGTATAACGACACAGCATTATGAGGTTATCATTTCCTTGGTACACACATTTCAATAGATAATGACATCATCTTTCAAAGCCTGTCGTAAATGTAGTAGTTTGTGGAGTATGCATGTTGGTTAGTGCTTTGACCTCGTTCACCATGAACTTAGTTCGAATGTCCATGAATGTAATAAACCTTTAATTTTTAACGCCATGGCATCGATTTCTAGCATCAATCAGGGCAGTATATCTTGGTTAACGACAAGGAGAAAAACAAGTTATAGTCATCCATAGCAAATGGCTGTTGAAAAGCCAACTGTTAGTTTATCATGATGATGTGACTGTAACCGATATTCGTGATAGTATCGGTTGCAACAGCAGCTTTTGTTTCAGAAAATGCACAGTATTGCATCGTTGTGGTAAGTTGTAATCACTTTGATTTCATTGTTTTCAGATGACTACCATACAGCCGAGGAATTGAAAATATCTTTTGCTACAGTACTCGGTTGCAAAAGCATAAATGAACCTGAAGATGACACGCCACTGTGTGTAACGGAGAAGCCGAAAAGGCAAACTGCTAAACGTACGCAATTAGTTTATTGTGAGGACTGTCAAACGCAAAATGAACTATTCTTGAGCACTTCTGAAGAACTAGGGGCTGTTGAAATGGAAGCTGCATGAGTCCCAGTCGACTTTCCGGTTGTCAACATTCTGACTGGGAACTTTTCACCTATAACGAAGTAAGTACCTATTGAATGAATGGTAATGAGACAGTTAATCGAAAATGGAGCTCTTTCCACCACCACTTCCATCTACTTCAACGGGACTTAGTCAATCGTAAGTTAGAGTTTATGTAACCATGATATCAAAATCTTGACAAAATGATTCTGAAAGCAATCAGCGATCTGTCTACCAAGATTGATAAAGTGATTGCTTACATTAAAAGCTCATCCATGGGTGTGAAGAACAGGTGCACCGACCACACAGACACTTCAAGTTTCTCATTCCCAATAAAAAACACATGAGGAATTGCTTTCTTTTGAAGTTGCTTTGGAGGAGCTCAAGTTTCGTGGTCAGTTCGTAAGTTATAAAAGGTGTTTAAAAAGATTTTAGGTGGCCAGATTTTACGAGATCATGTGTGACGGTCCTCAGAAATCAACTAAAGAATGCCTAGTTTACATGCTGATGCCGGAACTGGAAACCACATATACTATACGCTGTACTAAAGTAAACTGGGTAGCAGTAATTACAAATTATAAAGGACTATTCAAAGTAAGTTCACATTACAGACGGTGTTCTGTGTTCACGGTCCCGAGAAAGAAGTAACGCAAGCCAGGCTTTCTCGCACGACGTAAGAGATAAAGTCAGTGTGCATGGCGGTCCAAAGAAAGGGTGAGCTAAATGCACTTTAGATCTTTGATTGAATACTGGTTTTCGTTTTGATATAACTGTGATAAACATTGATACTGAAACAATTAATCTGTGAAAATTTCTAAAAATCTCCACAAAACACATTCTGATAATTATTTCTTGTCCATCTTATTTTCAGCTGGATTCGCAAGTGTTTTTATCCAGATTATTCACAATATTGTTACACCGTTGGTACGTCATCAACCTTTTACATAACTTTCAGGATTCTTATGTTGGATGATTGCCATGGCATTTGATTACTAAAGAGTATTTTTTTCTTTTTGTAGAATAGAGTGAATGAAAGCTTAACATCAATTTAACGTACTTATTTAAAATACGAGCAATTGTGAAGCATTAAAAGGATTAATGTATTGATTGAAAATCTGTACTTTATTAAACTGGAATAAAGATTACCATGTAAAACGTGTCAGTATTTTAATTACGGCGACAGATTGGTTCTGGTTACCAATTGTAGTTAAATTGCTTTTGCACTGGGTTTATTGTTAGAAGTTGACAGGAAAAATGCAATTCATGAGTAGGAACTTTTGGGTATTGATTATTAAATTGCCAGGCTTTTCTGGGGAAAAACACAAAATTTAGGGGAAATTCCCCAGATCTGGGGAAATTTTGGTGCCATTTCCCCAAAAGGGGTTAAATTTCCCCTAAAATTGGGGGATTAGACTGTTTCTCTTTTTTTCAAAATCTTGCTCTAAGGACACAGCTATGGAACTTCAGCCATCTGGGACAAACTTGACGTACGCGTTTTCTCAAGGTCATAGTTCACACCAAACGCTCTACAAATCTAATTTATAGAGACTATAAACTTAAAAAGTTGTATTGCATAAATACTTAAACGACCAGAATTCTAACACAATTAGGTCGAGATTAGATCTGGCGTGTAACGTGGACGCGATACCAAAATATTTTGAAGACTGTACTCAGGGTAATACTAAAGCACAAGCCTAATCATTAGCGCTCCAAGATATGTACACGAATGTATTGTTATTTACATTTATAAAAGTGGGAATCAATATATTGATTTCATTTATTTTACGGTTCCGCTTGGGAAGCATACTATAAGGAAACTAATGTTGTAATATGTAGATCATGCCTGTGAAAATGGCGTGTAGCTGCCGTTTCAAAAAAGAGTTTATAATGGCACTCCAAAAAAGTTCACAAGTCCAGAACAAACTCGATCGAATCATCAACGAATGTAACTCATTACCTCCATCTATCGACGCTTTCAAAAAATGTTGAGTCGACTGAGACCATCATTGCCAGGACTAACACAGACCACCTAGCCTCCTGTCCTTTCCGAATTGAAACTGAAATAGTTCGACTTTCCGCATAACCTTTGCCCTCTGACTGGTTGTTATGTTTCCCAGGTCGCTAAATTGATCCACGCTCAAATATCATATTCCGCTAACATAGAGACAACTTTTGTTCTACCACAAATATCAAGTTATCTACAATTCCGTCTTATTCTTTTCTTGGCCATCGATGTTTAATGTATTGAGTATAATTTACTGTTGTCAGTTCCAAAGAGAGTGGATCGTATAAGAAAGGCTCAATCGTTTCCGTTTTTAGATCCGTAACATCATGGGCCGAACTGAACCCCAATAACAAGACACAACAACAATATAAGGTAATTATAATGTAACTACAAGTAAGCATATTCATAAGGTACAATTCAATATATCTTATCGGAATTTACACATTTTTAGTTATCTTATTGAATGAACATAAACCCCGGTATATTAGGAAACCAAAACATAGTGTCAATTAAGTAGAGTGGAAACATAGTGATGATATGGTGGACAAGGTAGTATTATGAACAAATAAATGAACGAAAACGGTACAGTTACAAACATGGCCTCGTATGGTGTTTGTATAAACTAAAGATTCCTTTGTACTTGTTCACTGCTTGATTTAGAATTCTAAACAAAATATGTTTATTCGTGCTCATCTAATACTTCTTGATTAGATGGAGTTATTCCTGGGAGTCCTAGTTCGTACCATAATTCAAACACTCATTGGCGTCGCGATGGAATGGTTGGACATGCATTCAGATTTTGATGCTTTTGAGGATTTGTGGTGTTCGTTATAGATCTTCTAGGCCTGATGACTTTCCGGGATCCGTAGCTCTGGACAGACCTCTGCTTCACTGGGTGGACCTAAAGTTACTAGTCATAGAACACATGGCAAGATAAAATGAAACAGCTTCCGACAAGGTTCGGATGTATCTATTGCTTTCAAATCGTTTGTATGCTAAGGACTTCAGGTTACTCACCTCTTATCTAAACGTTGTAAAAGGTTCTGAGCTATGAATTTACATGTCATCAAACTTGTGATTCGCGAGAACAGACCGATGGATCTGCAAAACCCGTGCTTAGAGGGCGGGAAGTCTCGCAGAGCCGCAACTTCTATGGTGTCACCCAAACACAGCCATTTCTCTACACTTTCCGGTAGAACAGTAGCTAACCTTGGACCCAACTCGACTTGATCGTAACAGAAGGTACAACCAGTCAAAGACCAACAAACCTATCTGTTGTCTGGTCTGCATCAAAGTGGAAACATTGAGGGTGATAAAACGTACCGTGTTAGTGCAATTATAGAAAATGCCCCAGTTCCTAAATGGAACTTTGTATATTCTTAGATTCTTCTATTATTGCGGGATTTCACCGTCAAAATACTATTTCATAGGTTATTCATAACAGAATTATAGCACGGGAATGAAAACTTTAAACACTAGATCCCTATGTTTAGAATGTTAAGTGTTGGGCAATAAATTATTCTGACTATTAAGTCATGTATTTGTTTATTTGTCATACAATTATTTCAAATTTCATTGTGATTGATAAAACTAAGCATAAGAAACCACGTTTTATCCTAAATTCTATAACGTAATATTGCCACTGTATTAAGTCATTTTTAACACTCAGTATTATTTGTTAAAAGCAAGGGATAAGTAACAATGATTTATCGATTCACTAATTTATAACGAAACATTGTGATTTCATTATAGTAAAGGGTGAATAATTTTAACCGAATAAATTCAATAGATAAATCTTGGCCATATCTTTGCGAAGATACCATGCATGGTTGATACGTAAATTTGACAACGAATTTCGTAAAACAGAAAGTTGAAGGCACAGTTCATGATAAATTAATTAAGTAAGGAGAGAAAGTATAGACTTGGGTAGGAAAATAGTCAGATACAAAGCTAGAAGAATAAAAAAAGTGAATGTACATGGACATCTGTACACGTTATTCGCATGATTACAATACTTGCGTCGTAGAACTCTGGCTAATGTACACAACAGCACCAACAACATTTATAAAACCAGCTAGTATAAATACAGGAAACCACCTTCCACCAGATGTGATAACTAATTCGGCAGTCAGTGGACCACATACTATTCCAGGTATAGTAGCCTATATATAGTAGAAAATGCAATGAACGATAAGGCAATATAAAAATTAGCTATATTAAATACTATTTCCAAGCCTTATTTGCTACTACATTTAAATTAGAATCACCTTATCTAGAATTTAAACCAGTGTTTCGAGATAATATACAGCTCAGATAGTAAAAACCACGCTACAAGTGGTCACTAGAAGTAACATAGGAAAGTGTAGTTGGAAATGCAACAGAGGAAATAATTAACAAGTAGAAGTGAATGGGTTAACGCCGAAAACAGCGGTAGTGAATCACTTCACTGAAAAACTTTAATCACAGATTAACTGTGATAACATTCTTCAAAATTCACAAAATCAAAAAAATAATAGTTTATTGAAATTATGTCTGAAACATGATTTGGTTACGCATCTACGTCTTCACGTTGATGCCTAAGTGTGCACTAATTATCACATGGACAAATTCAGCCCGGAATTTACACAATAAGAATGTGAGTAAACAGAACAACTAAACAGATTCGCACATTAACGCAAAAATTACTGTGGGAAGAAAACCTGAGTTGTAGTCAGATACTGTGATTTAACGACAATCAATAGAATTAATCCTTCCCATCTATTTCGAACACTCACAAAGTGTCGATCGTGAAACTGTATTTACTTACGCTATTACTAATTACAGTGGCAGAGAAATCTTAAATAATAAACCAAAACCTCATCTCACCTTTCTTCACAAAACAGTCATATGTGGCACTGAGTACTTTTGACCACCAGTTCAGACCATTAGACTCAATGACTTCCTGTATGTCATTTCATGATTTAAGTGTACAAAATATTAAATCCTTGGGATATTCGTTCACCCATTCTATCCTCTTTATTTTTAATTTTTAATCGGTTTAGTGGTATCAATTTTCACAAAAAATGAAAGGTGGATGTTTTATTTAACTTCATTTCGTACAACGGTATAAGTTTATTTCAAGACCGTAGAGGAATTTTTACTGAGGGTGAATAATAATCTCTCTGAGAATGATAGAAAGAAAAATTCATTGGAGGATGATCACACAACAACTACAACTTTACTAATAGCATTGATTTTCAGGAGGACGACTCGAATATATGATTTAATCGAATTTACAATACTGCTGTTGATCTATTTCTACTTGAGTATGAACAGTAACTAATTATAAACTAAATATGCAAGAAACAACAGCTTTCAATTTCACAGCTTCTAAAAAAAATAACTTCGAGACTATTACCAAAGCACGTAGGTGGGCTTTATATCTTTTCTAAAAGCATTTACATAAAATACAACCCACTAACCTTGAAATTTTTAAGCACATCTTTTGCTAAGATAGTATGAGATTAACATGCCTGAACAAATTAACGGAGAAACGTTTAATCGATCCATTAAACACGAATGTAACAGTATTAGTTATTGATGAAAGAGTCAACGATCCAATAAGCGTAGTAAAATATCCCTCAATTATGAAGCACCATTACGTTAACATTTAAGAGGAACGGAATGAACTGATCTCTGTTTATTTAATAATGAGTGAGAATGTTGATAATCAATACAGACAGCAGTAAAAAACCAATCATCATTTTTATTCAAGCTTCACTAGCCCGATATTTATGGTTTAAATTTCTTGTGCTTTTTCGATTATTTTAAACCGTAGTACTGATTTTTCATGTTGATAGGCTAAATCTCACTGCAATTAACGATAAACTTTGATGACCAACATAGGAGATACCAAAAACCATACACCAGTATTAAATAGATAAACCTGAATCAGTTTCCAATAAAACAAAATAAAAACTAATGATACTCACCAAAATATTGCTTATGATAAATGTGGTGCCTGCATGATTAGGTGCAACCTCTACATGATTACATAAATGTCCAGCAGAATTGAAGGCGGAAAATGTCATAGACACAGAAATCAGGCTAAATCAGATGAATTGAATTAAAGTAAAAGATCGAAAAAAGAATATAATATACTCATATTCTGATACTGACAGCAATATCGTGAATGCCATATGATAAACGATAAATTTATAAACTTTTCAGGTATATTTACAGCTGATGCTAGTGGTAAAACTACAGAAAATAAATTCTATTAGATGAGTTCTGTTGGAAAGTCAACAAGAAAACACTATTTCATGACAAGTAATCAAATCATCTTATAATAATATGTGATAATGAAACTTACCTTACTTAGGAATACATAATTCAGTGATGGTTTACAGCAAGCATACTAAGTGGGATTCACAGTCATTACACACATTTGCATCTAATTAACTGAGCTAATTTTTATTTACGTTAAGGACTGAATAAAAGATAAGTCATTTTACTATGAACTCGCGAAAACTGAAATTTCTTTACGGGAAGGCTTTTAAGTGTTTTTTAAAAATCTACATTTATGTTCGAGCTTATTACCAGTATCAATTTCTAAATATTTAACATTGACGAACAATACTGACTAAAGAAAAACAAAACAATTTTTCATGATATGTAAAGATTTGAACAATTGGAAAATATAGCAAAAGAATGTTGTACAAATCATAAGGCTACAGACGGATTTAAAAGATTTCTGTACCAACATTTTGCAGTTTACACTCAGTGAAATAATAATCAAAATCTAGAAGTAATTACTCATAAATGATAGGGAATACCAACTGACAACACAAAAATAATTCATAGGAACGTTATATGAGAATATTCATTCAATTCAGTCCCGTAAAAAAGTCAACACCTGATAATATTTTATGTTTATCGAAGAAAATCTCAGTATCATGCTACGTTTTTTAAGGCAAAAGGGAAAAACTAATTTCTGTTTACATGAATGATACATATTGTACACAGGAATATACAGACAAGCATACCCATGAAGTACTGCAGATTTACCTTATTTTTTTTATCGTTGTATCAAATTCACATATTCCGATGAAAACTAAATGACTGTAGGGTTACGCATATATGATTGCATGTTAGTGTCAGAATTGTAATAAAATTTCTCCATCATGGAGTCTTTCGGATCAGATGTTTTAACTATAATGTCATCACGCTTCATTACAACCTCATGAACGACGATTTTCCTATAAATACAAATAACCCATTCCGCCCAGCTTGAATTTGACTGGTCATCTTCACTTTTTGAATAAAACACACTTCATTGGCTTTTACATAGATTAAATCTCAATTAAAAACCTGGTGTCCAGAGTATCGCATTGCAAAAATTCGCTTATTTCCCATAATGCATTTGGACACAAGTTACGCCATACTTGAAGAATTTGCATTTCCCCTTGGATAATTGCAGAAAATAACATCATTGCTAAGTTTCACCAAGTGCTACTCGAAAATGAATGTTAACGTCCCCTTCAAAAAAGAACAATGTTATAGCTATTAGTGGATAATCGCCATCAACCTTAAGAAAATATTCAGGCTACCTATAAAGGAGCCATAAAGGATTATGAAGTGAAGAATTGATTTTGAAAGTGACTTATTCGGACAAGTAGTTTGGAGTGTCGTAGTGAAAATGAATTCCATTGACACTTCGATAAGAGGTCAGTGAGTCAGCTACAACGTAAGACCAGGCACATATGTGCATCGGTCCAAGTTGCCATACCTCATTGACACAACAAGATGGACACAGGATTCATAAAAGTAGTTAATTCAGAGGTGGCAATATATAAAAGAAAGATTGCAATAAGGAAATAGTACAGGAAGAAAGAATTAGTTCGTAGAAAGAAAGATATGAAGCGACTTTAATCTCTTAGTTTAAGGGAAGACAAAGAGTGTATACACCGACGCCATTGTGATCGATTCTGAGCCATGTCACCAACAGTCTCCAACTATTGGTTACGATAGTCACGCGGACCCCAACCAAGTAGTCTGCATCTACCAACATGGCTCAGATTAGAGGACACAGAGATCGTTTGATAGTCAACAGATTACGCCAACTTTAGAAGCAGAGGCAAAATGAAATGCATAGATGAATAGCGAAAACTGCCCTGAAAGGTAATACGATGTGGTCAAAGAATATAAATGAATGAAATCAGAATACTCTAAGTATCTGAACTAGCGATATTTTAACATCAATATCGTTGTGGTGAAATGTTTGGTTACACAGTGATGAAAAGAGTCACACTGCTTTAGGTAAAGATGATAAATTCGTGGTGCTGCAAGCCTTTAGACATCGATATGGTTCGATAACAAGTCATAACCCACAACCACCTATCTAAAATAAAGGTTTCTAGTGTTTTTTTGGAGTAGGAATGTGCCAGGAAGCATCAGAAAATTCAAGCTAAAACAAATTATTATTCCATGCAGGAAGACTTAAGCGTACCTCAAAATTAACTTAAGTGGCTCAAAGTTATACGTTAGCTCGTCCCTTAGTTTTACTTCAACCTAACCTTTTACTATTTACCATTGTTCCTTTCACTGTTTCTACAAAAAACCCGAGAATTTGTGGAACTCTTCAACGTTGATTTTTGTTGACTAACAAAACAGTTCTAACCACTATATGTTTCCCTGAAACAAAACTATAATTTTTGAGCGTATTTAGTAGAAAAGAACAGAACTTGTAACAAGTAGCCATAAATTTCAATGGAAACTAAGAATGTATAAGAAATAGTCATAAGTGATGCTATGAGTAAAACTTAATGTTTTTAACTTTTACATTGAATATATATAGACAAAATTGATATGACTGTCAGTACCAAATTATATATAATATCTGATGCGCACGATACATGGATAGCAGATACTAAGTAACAGCATTACACGGACTGTGCCAACGAAAATAATTTAATAACTTTGGGAAAGCACAACATTTCCGAAGAGTACAACCAAAATAGCGAGATCATGTGGTAGTTCGTTGCAACTAGTGCAGGGAATTTTGGGTGGAATCGAAAGAAAATTATAGACGTACGTTACATGCCTGTTGGGAAATTTGAAGACAGATGTCTTATTTTAAAATGTTTTAATTAAATACAAAAAGGATATTCGTAAAGTTATTAGGATCGTGATTAATCTAATACCGGAAAGAAATACATAGAAGACACATTGATAATAATGCTGGAAAAGATGGAACTTGACAGCATTAAGTAAACTAACTGTGGTATTAGTTTCCATAGACATAAACTATGGTATTAGCAAGCAGATTTATTTAGATACTCCCTACCTGAAGGAGTGTTGCAAAACGCTATTCCAATTCAATATTCCAGAGATAACGAGAAAATTACAAATAAAAATCTAAAAACTCACACAATAGCTGATGTTACACTGCTTGATAGGGAAAACAAAAAAAGTACCACACCTGGACCAAGAAGACCAATAGATGACATTAAGCGTCGAACAGTTAGTACAGTGAACTGCCGTTTAGTTAAGTAATTCGCTAGCCGTCCGACGACTGAAAGGAAAGAATCGGTTTAGCGTAAAAAAACAAAATATCTTTTACGACAGGTGAATTTGAATAAGTAGACGCACTTCAGATTTCTATTAAGGAAATTTACAATTTTGCGTTACGTCCATTTTCTTATGAATAAAGTAAAATAAAGTTGCAGCAGGATCGCCACTGGCTTCTATTCTGAGCCATATCTGAAAACGTCTCTAGCCACTGTGTGGCACCATCTGTAAGACTACAACCAGGAAGTTGTGGAAGACCGACAGAAACCAGTCCTGTACAGCTTTCATACCGCGACACCATGTCATACATTGACCACCTCTCCGCTTTTCCCAACCAGTCAAATAATGCAAATAATGCACGACGTGGAATTCTCTGGGACGACATTCGTTGAACATGTCCAAGCCACCGAAGTCGATGTTTCAAGATAGTGACACCAATTGAATTATCGTCTCTGTGCGCGAACACACGATGCTGAACCTCTGCAGTACTAACATGGTGTTGCCACTGGATGTCAGAAATCTTTCGGAGACAACGATGATCAAACACAAACAGTCATCTAACATCCTCAACACGGAGAGGCCAGGTTTCACAAGCATAGAGCAGAACTGCTCTCACCGACGCGTTGTAGATCCGACCGTTTACAGCCAGACTGACATCACGAAGGCACCGAAGTCGACGAAAATTGGCATAAGCCTCTCTGGCTTTCACCATACGTGCATTGATCTCATCACTCACGCCACCACTAGCACTTATGCAGCTACCCAGATACACGAACTTCTCGACTACTTGTATCTGCTCACTGCCTAGAGTGAGTGCAGGATCAGGGTCCTGGCAGTCTTGTAAAAGTACTTTGCACTTCGAAGGTGAGAAGCACATACCATACCTACGGACATTAATTGCTAACTGTTTAAGTGCGGATTGCATGGCTTGGGCATTATCGCTCGGTAAGACAATATCATCCGCATACTCAAGGTCGAGAATTCTTTCTTCAGGGAACAGATCCACATCGCCATTACTTACATCCATCAGAGCTGTTTCTAGAACGTCGTCCATAGCAAACTTGTAGAGGAATGGTGAGATTGGGCAACCCTGTCTAACCCCACTGTTTGGATGGAACAATGGAGAAAGGTGGTTGTATGCGCTCACTCTACCTGAGGTGTTTGGATATAGGGCTTTTAAGATGTTAATAAACTTCTCAGGCATACTCTTTCAATAGACAATCCAAGAGAACAGTCCCGTCCAACGAATCGGAGGCAGTCCTGATGTCAAGAAACACTACGATTGCTCCTGGAACTACTCTGCTCATCGTACAAGACGTCGTTTGATGTTAGTGATTAACATCCCTTCATCCTCATAAATTGTTTCGCTCACACCAGACTTCTTGCAGCCAGTGTCCTGGATGAGTTGAAAGAGCTTCCGGCAGTTACCAGATGCAGCTGCTGCTTCCAGCTCATTGGAACGCTCCGACCACCAGACTTCTCGGTCCTGACACAAGCATTTCCCAATTTCATTACGTAACAGTCGTCGTTTGTAGTCGAACTCACGGTCACCCAGAGTAGACCGACGGGCTTCCGTGAATTGTAAGGAGCCAGGAGAAACCCCGTGTCTACAAGCGGGACGTTTCGCGAAGCCGCAAGCGACTTAACTCGCCATTTTCATGGCGTCATGCAATTGCAGCCAATGTTCATCTATACGTTTCGGTGGATTGCTAGCTAGCCTAGAAGGTAGCTCGGTTTGACATTTAGTTGCAACCAATTTGCTGACATCGATCCGTTTAGGACGATGAATTTGTTGACCACTGAAAAGTAAGATAAGATTAGCGCAAACAAGTGCATGATCAGAGTCCTGATAGGTAAGGAGCCTGTAAAAGACTCAATGCTTCTGAGCAGGACGCTTCACGAAGCCAAAAGTGACTTTGCTCTCCATCTTCATAGTGTTATGCAGAGCGGTCATTTCCTATCCATACTTTTCAGTGGGTTAATACCTAGCCTTGAATCATGTTTGGTTTGATATTTAGTTGCAACAGAAGCTGTAACTAGTTTAGTGATAACGATCCGTTTAGGACAATGAATTTGTCGGCCACTGAAACGCAAGGTAACATTAGCGCAAACAAGTGCATGATCGGAGTCCAGATAGGTACTCCAAAAGGAGTAGCAGTCTTGTACACAACCACGCCAGCGGTAGCTAATCGCGATGTGATCAATCTGAGTCCAGGCTTGAGATGCAGATGGAGGACACCAGGTGGCACATCGGTGATGACTGTGCCGAAAGTTAGTGCTAGTCAAAAATAGGTTGTGGTCTGCGCACAGTTGCAGTAGACCGTTTTCATTATCTGACCTGTGACTAACAAGTTCCCATCGGTCACCTAAACGACTCTCTTCTGTGCCTGGACGCCCGACCTGGGCATTCACCAAGTCTCCGGTTAGTACTATAATATCTGTCGAACGCACTTTCTGTAGAAGAACTGTTTCATTTATTTATTTTAACACATAGATATTGGTACAAGGAGGCACCAATTACATATGCGCCACACAAATCTCATTTGATATGTGCAAGGGCTGCGGTACTGCGCGGGTGCCCAAACCGAAGCAGATGGTTTTCTTGGGGGACCACACCCGGAGCCTTCGACCTGAATTTCTGACCCACAAAGAAGTGGAGCAACGTAAGGAGATGCAGTCCCATGGTAGCCGGTGACCAACGATTGGTTCATACGCCGTTTGTTCCTTCAGGATACTGGAACCCGTGTTCACTATTAGTTTGGAATCAGGGTTTCCCAACTCCCCTAGAGGGATTCTCCGTGTCCATCAACCCCGTTAAAGCACCAAACATTCGCTCTTCGTCCTCTCCATTTCGTAAAAACCTCCGCCGCGATGAGGCAGTGGATAGGACTTCCATAGCGGTGGTCGTACGCGTGGCTATATGAGAGCATTTCGAGAGAGAGAGAGTGGACTCTCCCCAACATCGGTCGTACCAGGGCATTTAGGGGTAAGGAAGTTCTCATACGTGAAGGCATCCGACCAATCAATCACTGATCTACAATGTGTGGAGAATCGTAAACATCATGAAAGTCACTACAATCAGAGAGTGAAAATCCGAGATAACATAGTTCGAAATCACTCTGAATTCTTTCTTTTTCTCAGAATATTTTAAAAACATTTATTCGCGGTTTGGTTTTTAGTTGGTTTTAACCTTTTTTTGTCCTCTAACTATTAATGCAGATGAATTACTGTTTGATACGATTGTAGAAGCTCAACTCACTGTGCAAAACAAGGAAATAGACTTCGATTATCTTAATAAGTTCTGGAAACAATACAAACTGGTGGCACTTAACAGTGATTTCTGTAAACGAGGTTTATTGTCTGATTTAACACGAGGTACATAAATTAAATGCGATTATATCCAGTTAATTGGGAATAGGGATGTTTTCTATAAAACCTAAACGTCAGCATCACTAGTGGAAACGAAAACGTGTTGGTTAGGTAGGTAAGTGATATTAGAAGAGGGTAAAACGTAAAACGTATCGATTTTTACGGAGCTCTTCTGTTGCTCGAGAGTGGGTAACGAGAAATATCTGAATCGCTTTACTTGTTTTTGGTGTACATAAAACCAAATAAAGCTACTTGGTCGGCATATCTAGACGAGTGAACAATTAGTTAATGGTCATCTGATATCAATAGCAGATAGAATTTCAAAGTTTACTTCGTATTTCAAAAAATCCGACAAGTAATTAAAACCCATGAGACAGGAAGATATGTAGTACTTTAGGAGTAAATTTCAGACCTCTGACTCTTAAAACGAGTAGGAGAGTATATGAGGAAGTTCCACACTAAACGTTTACTAGTATGTTAACGCGATTTAGAAATACGGAATTCATCCCCAACCTCTCTTGAATCGCACGTTATGAAGTGTCCAAGCATGTATGACGAAAAAATTCATAGATACTAAGAAAGTCTACATATTAGTTAAAAATATAAACTTACTAACACTCCCAATACAATTACATATATAAGGTATAGCTGTTAGCATTATGGCATATTCAGTAGCTCCCAAATAACGGACTAAGTAGGTCGGTAACCATAGCATTACAATATAATTTGACCAGTTCATACTGAAATGAGCAATGTAAATTGCCCATAATGGCCAGTGTGAAACGAATTCGGTCCAACGAAGAGACGGTTTGGAAGGCTTCATTTGAAAAATCAGCAGAGAAATTTATGATAAGATAAACAAAGTTAATCTTATTGAAACGGCATTATAACAGGGTTTAAGTAAATTCAAACTAACAAAATATCCAAAATCACGAGTTGGTTTGTCATATGGTGACATCAGCCTTAGTACTAAATTGTATGATCTTGGGACACACTATTCGACTTTGGGCGATCTGATGTCATCAATGGGTTGACTCAGTTTCCAATTCGGTTTGTTAGTACCTATCAACAAATCATCTTTACAAATATACTTATCAGCATAATACGACCAAATAAACAACTCCTGTAATTTTTTTTATCAATAATAACTGACACAGAAGTGCAGGGTATTTTAGGCGACGATTTCAATAGAAGCAAAAGTATCTTCAAGGTTGTAGATAACTGATGATTGCCGAACAGCATGAAAAGTGGATCAAAAAGATCCTAGTTGGTTAATTTAAAATATTTAACGTAAGATAATATACAAAAATCTGGTCGTTATCCGAAATTCATCAAATTTTCAAAAGCCGTTCTATGTCTTTCAACAATGATTGGTCACATTGTATGACAGTTAACAATCAGTTAGATCATATAACCAATTACTGACATTCGGTCAATTCAACAGTCAGAGCGTACTTAAAAATGCCATAACCGTTTTTAAAACAATAATATTAGTAATTTTGATAGAAACTTTGTAGTAAAGTATTTTTATTTTACTAGCCGTATAAACACCCATCCATCTATTTAATGATATACCTATTCTTATTGACGCGTTTATATCAAATGTGATTGTAAACTAACTAATAATTGGGAAATAAATTCGAATCCTCTAACACACAATGGACATTTCGACTTATTAAATTCATAGATGAGTACAAAAACCTGTGCACAATAATAATAATAATAATAATAATAATAATAATAATAATAATAATAAAGAAACAATACGGACACTCAACAGAAATAATTGAGCATAAGACCACGATTTCGTGTCGTGGCTGGATCGGGTCAAAATTTAATTTACGATTGCTAGGTAGTTTAAGGAAAAGGTAATGAGGGTCATAACATATTTCTATGTTCTATTAACAAATATACATATGTATACCAAGGGTGGACATAAAAAGAAAGGTTGGTGTTAATCCTGAACTAGAATCAGTCTTTAAAATCTAATTATCGATTTAAAGAGGATTAAAAACCAACAATAATGACACAAATCGGGACATCAGATCAACGACATAAGGGTCGATAGCTGCGTTGTAAACAAGAAAAGCAGGGAAAAACTTAGAGCTGCTGTACTCTACTAGTTAGAAAATGAGATTTTTCTCAGTACAGAACAATTATTTAAGGGGATAACTAGACTATAGATAGAAAATATTGGGAAGACGTTAAATCAGAAGCATCAGATTTAACGATTATCAGATATGAGGAATACATGATTCCAGTATGCCAGTTGATGGGATCTCACGATTATTGAATTTAACCATAAACATACACTAGTTGAATAATTTCAAGGGCTATTAGGGAGGACTGAGAACACTAACGTATTTACAACTCGATAGTTCACGAGTAAATTAACGCTGGCTAGTAACTGGAAGCCATTAAATGACTGTAAAGCCTCATATAACACTACTTTTAGATAGATGACTGAATTTCAAGAGTGAAATGAAATTCACGATAAATCCAGAATGTTATAAGTTATCTGAAGATAAAAACTATTTGCAGTGAGTTCAAATAAAAACTCTTCAAACATTATCAAAAGACAATGAATTCATGGAAAAAGGGGTTCCCACACTATGGAATATGCTTTCCTCATTATTCTCATAACTTTCCTCTATTTAGAGAGCTGACCCAAGTAATGAATAATTCAGTTAGTCCCCTAGATTGAAAGCATTTATTTTTTTTGAGTAACTTATTTACTCAGTGAAACAAAGGCTAAAAGGATTGATATGAATCAAGGTTCGTGAAGTAGCGAAAAGTTTCTTCCCATCAATATTTCCTCCTTTATTTTAACATGTATTTGTGAAATGAAATAGCTGATTGTGACAAGCACTCCCTTTGAGTCATTGACTTGAAATTATATTTACATGTTAGCTGGTGCTGTGAAAAATTTTGTACCATAAAGTTATAGCAATATTCACCTTTGATTTAGAATGTGAGTTTGCTCACTACTTTATGTGCATTTGAAGGGCTAGGTCTTAAAAACATTTTCCGTTAAATTCACATACTCATATTTAGTTTCAGTAACTTAAGGTCTCATGAAATAGATTAACTTGGCATTTATTTCCCAAGGACCTCAATACGCTAATAAAAACGAACGATATAAAGGTCTTTTTATCAGATTCCGATAATTGTCGAACTAGTTTACAACTGTCTAAACTAACTACAAAAATCTTCCAGGTGTATCCACGAATTATTAACGCACAGATAGATCGAGTTTACAGAAAAAAGAGGTAATCTGGAGACAATGAGTCTTCTGTGGAATTAACTTAGTAGCGATAGATGAAAATATACTTATCTATTGGGTTCTTATCAGTTTGACAACGTATATGATATAATCTGCACCTTTTCCGAGTCGATAACCGAAGGGAAAAAATAGGGGAGTTAATTCTTACCTGAGATTGTTGAGCAGGCAACTCAATTCGTGACTCAGCTCTTCTAACAACGTTAAAGATAGGGATCCAGAAACAAATCCACACAAGACCAATAAAACCAAATATGAAAAACGAATGAGACCAAATTAAATGAGGGCAAACCAAGGTAGCTACTGTTTGACCAACAGTACCAAATGTGACCATATAACTGAAAGATCGACTGCGTTCTTCAACAGGCACAACATAAGAAAATATGTGGAATACCGTAGGAAGACCTATATTAGACGACAAAAAACAAATTTTGTGACTACACGGAACATTACTAAGTAAGCATATATTAACTATCAATATATTGCAACAACTTAGGCTTTCAAATGAATTTTTGATTAAGGTGGATGAGAAATTATTCATTTTAGATGATGAGATCGATTTGCTACAATAACATACCAGATAAGCTCTAGAGAAATTTTTCTTTTAATAAAAGGTATTTGACATACAAAGCAACCAATAATAATAGTAAGAAATGATGGGTAAACAGTTCCAGGTAGGGTTATACCACAGGATATCGAACGTCGGGCTTTGAAATATTTTGTAATAACACTCATTGTGTGCAGGTAATTCGACTTTTCAGCACAATATAATTTATTGTTTATGTACCTGTTTGGTCTAGCTGAAGATTGGTACATGGTGAAAGAAGTAAGAATTTTTTAAGAATCAAATGTATTCTACAATACCATGTTATTGAGTTGTATATAAACATGACGTTGAAAACCCTATCCTGTGGTAGAAATTTTAGATCACTTATCCTTCAAAAAATATATTCCAAATGATGGAAACAACAATACTTTTACATACCATAAAGAATCTCTTAACAGAATGAGATTGGGAATATGCATAACTCTGCCTGACGCTAATAGGCTTGCTTTGTGGGTAGGATACAAGCGATAACTGTTTATAATTCATGATTTATTCAACTAATCCTTTCGTAACTGATTTCTCCAAATCAAATATGTTAAGCTATAGAACATCATTTAGATCTTTTAACAGCCAAATTTTCATTCAGATTTGAGTTTTGATTATGATTTTCAATTTTAGATCGACAAAATATCTTTCTTACCTATTCCTTCTCTTAAGCCAAGTAGTATACGCACAGTTATCAGAGAGCGAATAGAGTGAGCAAAGAATGGAGTGAGGAGGGATGACAATGACCAGAATGCGATGGCAAAACTAAGGATCAGACCTCCACCATATCGTCTTGCTGCTCTTTCACCTATAATCTAGTTTAAATTAAAAGCAAAGAACTGGTAGTGCTTACCATACTTCCAAGATAGCCTACAGAAAACGAACTCAGAACTAATCCATATTGGTGAAGATTCCAGCCAAAGTGATTCGATATGGGAATTATAACAATAGGCATGATAACTCGATCAGCTGCGTTAATGAAGTTTGCCAAACAACAAAGGAAAACTATCTTCCAAACATAACTTGGCTCGTTAAGCCACTTGAATACGTTGCATGTGGGTAGAAAGTTGAGGCAATTTAAGTAATACATGTTTCTACTTGTATGTATAATTTTTATAGTTGTTAATATATAAATACTAAGGATTCACTGCATTTGAAAATCAAACACTATAGATCATGTTTTAGGAGCTGAGGAAAAATGAAAAGGATTTAGCAACAAAAAAGATGATTGATGAATTAGAGCACGAAATGAAAGACTTATATGATAGTCGGACTCTGAATAGTTGGTGGTGGAAAAAAACAGCAGGTGTTGTAGATTACTTTCTAAAATAATTAAGTGCAATAGTTAATTCTGGTTTCGATTAGTACGTTAACAAATACTGGTTCCACACTAGTGAGAAATCAGTCAATCACAAGAAACGTAGAATGCACCACATATGTGCATCGGTTCCAGATGCGTCACAATATCGACACAGAGACCAAGTTATCAAGACAAATTCCATAGTGAAAGCATTAGTAGAGTGAGTGACAGTACAAAAAATTCGGCATAGAAAATATTTGAGACGAAATGTTGAATTCGCGTGGTGAGAAGCTTGAGATAATTTTGAAACTGAAGATCCACGGGAAGACAAAGTAAATGAATCTGTGCGGAGTGACCGATCCTGAACCATTTCACTTGTCATATCCAGACATTGTTTACAACGATTGGAGATTTCCAACAAAGTAACTTGCATTTACCGACGGTCATTAACTTCGTGAAATGATGACATTTCTTGATTTGGTTGCCTCTACCTTTCTTTCACCCTACTGTAACACCACCAAACATTACGTGTCTAGTTAGGTAGTTACCGGACATACATTACCTCGATCGATGGAGATTCACTACCTTATCGATCATTACGTAATAACCAGAGTCCAACTTAATTGCTGCTCAGCGAAAGATCCCAACATACACTAGCAAAGCTTTGAAGGTATCACACGAATATATCTTCCGAGACAACAACTCACAGCCATAAATTAGAACAGAATAAAATGATGCGCAGTATACTCAACCTTTAGTTATTGAACGGGGATCTTACGTCTAGGTGATGCAAGCTGGCAAAGGCCAAATGAAATTTCTGAATCCATGTTGGTATTTCATTAGGTACTAACACACTAGGGCTCTAAGGTCTCATCTCTTGGATACTTCTAAGAGTTTTGAATTGCCATACGGCTATCCATTTCTCATCTTCTACGTAGGTGAAACAAAAAGTAATAATTTGGTTTAAAGGCTACGTATGGAATGTTGTACAAGAGTAATATATACTTTCTAACTTCTACTAATAGTCACAAAAGTAAATCCATGGACTGATGATTGTGGATCAAGAGCTTAAAACTGAATAACTAATTACCATATAATCCAGCTCACCATTATCTGAGACGAAATACATCAACCATCGACTACACTCGTGAACTACATTGGGTCGGTGACGGCCAAAATCGGTAAGGTCAAAATATGTCACCAACTGATCCGATCCATATGAAAGAATATACATATTTGATACTTTCATAGTAACTGATATCAGTGACCAAAGACTACATGATATGAATCCATAAATTGCAAAGGCATATTACTTCCAAGTTATGCCTTTTAAGTTGATGTTACTATTGTCGCACAACAGAGAGCAATAATTTCTCAAAGTTCTACGTTGTTTACCCGAATTTTAAAGTTTTACTGATGAATTATGGGAGTTAGAGTACAGGCAATATTTTAAGCTTCATAAAACTTTACAAGTGTTTAGGAAGGCATTTTAATTGAATATCAAAACTTAGAGGTTGAAAAGATACGTATTATAAGCCAGTTAAGCTGTTGAGGATTAGCTTCTACAGCTATGAGATCATAGCACATCCTCAGCCTACATAAACCTCTAACTTTCAATAGTGTACAGCCACTGCCAGGGAAGTTCTATTCACTCCCTTATCGAGGCGGGTGTTGTTTATGAAATTGAGAGGACGAAAAGCGAATGTCCGGTATTTTAACCGGGTCGGTGGATTCGGAGGACCCACCTAGGGAGTTAGAAAACACTGATTTCAAACCAATGGTGCATATGGGTTCCAATATCCTGAGGGAACAAGCGGCAAATGAACTCATTGTTGGTCACCGGCTACCATGGGACTGCATCTCCTAATGCTGCTCCACTGCCTTGTGGATTAGACCTTTAAGTCAAAGGCTCGAAGTGAGGCTCCTTGAAAAGACCACCTGCTTCGGTCTAGGCGCCCGGTCAGTATTCCATCTCTCACACAAATCAATGATAACTATTACTGGCCTAGAACGATCCTAAAATAGACAAGAGCACGTGTTTGCTTCGCCATCAGAGATGTTTCCATATGACGCAATATGTTGTTCCTTACTGTAAGAGGTCCTAAGAGCTTAAACCAAGTTAAGAGCAAGCACTGTTTAAAAACCAGTTCTGTGCACATGTGGACAATTTTTGAAGGGACAAACGGCTTGAAAACCTGCTGTAGTCAAGGTTTAAGGGGATACATTTCCTTAAAATACTCAATGTATCAGCAACTTCGTGGGCCACCTTGCAAGGATGAGGTTGGTGTGCCGTGAAAACATACAACAAATAACTAGTTGATACTTGATCAAGAAAGTTTGCGGTCAAATTTAAAACCATTGTTCGGTTCATTAATAAGGCTAGTATGCACACAACGGGATTAACCAACCTAGACGTAGAGAAAATGTAAAATGGATTTAATTGACCAAGAGTGTTGTAGTTTTACATACGCTTCATTTGATCATGAAAACTATACGAGAACTTTAAGAAAAAAATTCAGAGTTGGCCCGGTAGCAGTTAATGTTTCCCACTTTTCTTATAAATAACGTGAGAACTACATTTTCAACGCTACAAAGAGTACATGTATGTGTAGTCATATATGGGAGTTTTAAAATTTTTACTATTATACATCACTCATTTTAAGAATAAGTAGTTCTTTTGAAATTTATGGGGCTTATAGGACTACGAGCATTATTATAAGTGTTGACTTTTGTAATAATATAAGAACGAGATCAATTATTTCAAACACTCAAATGGTAAACAAAGTTTAATCTAAGATATCAAGGAGAATGCGTGGCGAACGACCTAGAACATCAAAACGGCGGACAGGTTGATGACAAGTGTGTAAATCTTCAACTTACAATAATTTTACATTAAAGGAAATTGAAACAACTCTTTAAAATAGCTAGAAATAATGATTTCAACATTTGTTATTGATCCTTATGGAGTACCTGGTGACAAGATAGGAAGTATATTGGACTGAGTGAACTCAGTCTCCGATTATGTACTCTTTCAGGAGCCTAGCTTTCTTTGTATTTTAATAAAACTTTATCAGACATTCACCTTAGATCCAAAATCTTATCTAAGATCACTCCAAACTATGATCTTTCAGTTCGTTTACTGGAACGGATTGAATTCTAGTCAGATTACACTTGCTCTTTGAGAACAGAAAACAGTACACTGCGTTAGTCCTTCCGCACTATGTTTACTTTTTGCCTATTAGCCTCACAAGCAAGCTAAAAGAAGGCCTAGAAACCGCCCCTCACCCCGCTCGTTCTAATCATACATTATTCTGATTACTAGCTCAATAAAGAGATTCTGTTCTTTCCTTACTTTTGAACTTGTTTATTGTGTCACCTGAGATTTTCTGACGTAGATTAGATGACAGAGTAAGGTGTGTCAGTTCTGAGGCCAATTTTCAGAATCATGTTGATTTCGGTTAGCTCACCTGTCAAACTGCAACAACTTAGTGAGAAATGGTTCAATTTATCAATCCACCAGTTGTAATCCAAGCTACTATGCTGTAAACAATCAAAACTTTGAACTTTTTTGAGCAGAAACACTAGGCTCTTTACTCCTTGAGATGTGTATCTAGTCTGGAAGAGAGATTTATTGACTACGAAGAGGTATAGTTTATGATTCACAAACTTAGAAACCATAAAGAATGAGAACACTGTTTAGTGGTAACAAATATGATGACAGAAAGTCTCCAGAAGTAAAGTCATGACTAAGGTGAACATCTAAATTCCCATGAGGGGACCAGCAGGAGATGCTGTAAGCCTAGACACAGTCTCAAGAATCTAAGCAAAAAGATACTGTTTGCACCTTATTTGGTTAGGTTAAATTCCGTCTGTTCAACGTCCATTACTTTAGTAGGATTGGAGCGTACTATACTGGAAGTAGAACTGGAGCGATATGTAGCAGAAATTCGATATTTACTCGTTGATTAGTTTCTCATAGAATATTTATATAGTTTGTACAACATAGCAGTAACTTGAACCAGCTGAATGCTGATAGTCATTAGGTCGAAGACAAGGGAAACGGTGTGTAAGTGGCCGTTTTAAACTGGTCACCAGATGAGGTTTTTGTGAGTTGGCCGTTTGAATCTAGTGAAACTAAGCATCATAACGATTGAAAATTCAGTTAGTTTTCTACATTCATTCGTTTCGAGATTTCGTATTTATTCTATGTAATGCAGATGTACTGACTTGGGAGAACCGCCCACGCACGAAGCGTAATACTTGAGGACGTCGATTAGTACAAGAATTTCTTTATCCAGTACATAGCTGATGAAAGAAAAGATCGAGGAACATGGAATAAACATATAAATTTACGTAGGAATTAGGGGTCTACTTGATTTATTATGTTGTACTGATGCAAATCATGAAAACCGTTAAAGTTTGGCTGATCCAAAAATAATACCTAGTTTCAAGACTGAAGCCATACTTCGTCATAATTTTTCGGCTGTTGTCGCAGTTCTAAAAATACTGAAAGTCGCTTATCTCAGACTAACAACAAGACAAACTAAACTTGATACGCGACTGGTTGTACGAATACAGGTGTTCAATTCAACAATAAGATGTCATACAAAGGATAACTGTCAGTCTGTAATGTTTGTTAAGGTCGGGAAGAGTTTTCAAAACTATTGGACTCAATCTCTTTGCTATCTTCAAGCTGATAACGAAACTACGGCTGCTTTATAGACTTAAACCAGGTCCAAACCCTCAAAGTTATCAACAATTCAGATATTAGACAAACATTAACATCTGAT